ACTTGGGAGCGGCTACGTATGCTGTGTTTTTGGGAAATTGTAGTCGCTGAGTTTACTATTTTATACTACTTCTGTGATATTACTACTACTTCTACTTCCTGTTATCTTCTTCATCATCGTCTTTTTCACCAGTAGAAACAGCAGGTTGTTGATCACGTGACTCCTGTGATGTGAAAAAACTGTTTCCATTGTAGTTTTGTGAAAAACACCAATTTCGATATGGCTGAAAAACCACCTCATCCTAGAGCAAAAACATTTTGTCGAAAAACGTAATTTTTTCGAAATTGACGTGTTTCCATTGAACAAATTTATTTTAGAAATTCTAATTTGCTCATTTTCATGGTCAATGGAAACACAACTAGTGAGATCCAGAATCTCATTTACAAGAGAGACCTGTTATATAACAAAATTTACAAACACAAGTAGTTACACAAAAAAAAATCTCAAATGGATTCAAATAAATAAGCTAATAAAACATGAGCTAAAACCTAGAGCACATTTCATAAGATGATTTCTTTTTGTCTTAGAGGAAATTTGAATTATCCCAAGGGAATCGAAGTGTGTAACTTCAGATCCTGCTGTAGTGTCCCATGCTGACGGAGCAGAGTAAGAGAACGACTATCCTTCAGCTAGATTGTACCTTTCAGCTTCTCTTTGCTAATTTGAGCTTTTTAAGCTTCTTTTTCCTAATTTTCTAGCTAAAATTCAAATCTTTTCTGCTATCCTTCAGCTAGATTGCATATTTGTGTGCTTTAGCTTCTCTTTGCTAATTTGAGTTTTTATGCTTGTTTCAATTCTCTTTCTGCTTATTTCAGCCGTTTGCTGCAGTTTTAGCTAGCTACTGTTCAGCTGTTATTAGCTAAAATTTGATTTTAAGCTAAATTTACATTTGGGGGTCATTTCAGCTTCTTTCTGCAAATATGAGCTCCTTCTGCTTTTTTATGCTAAATTCAGCAATTTCAGCTTCATTTTTTGATTCATATTTCGGCTGATTTAGCTATTTTACAACAAATTTAACATTTTTGTACATTCATTCTTTTTTCTGCTAATTTTACCTTTTWTTTCTACCATTTTCACCATCTGTAAGCCAACTTTAGCTTTCTGTTACCTTTAGCTGCTTAAGCAAATTTTAGTTTTTTTCTGCTATTTTAACTATTCTTCAGCTAATTTCTGCTTTTTGTTTGTTTCTTCCTGCTAGTTTGAGCTTTTTATGTTTCTTTCGCGTTTCAAATAAACTTGCACTAAATGCTAGTTTTAGCATTCAGCATTTTCACAGGAAGTGTAATTTCTCTGGTGTTTATAGATTTTGTTCTCCACAAACAGGTGTTTACATCCTGGGTTTTCTATTCAGACACTGACTGAACAGTGTGTGCATATGTGTATGTATAGATATATGTGTATGTGTATAATATGAAAGTATATGGATATGTAGGTACGGGTATGTTTATATGTGTGTATGTATATGTATGTATGTACATACATACAGAAGATCTTTCCTGCCCACAGCCATCAGCATCTACAATAGTTCTTTAGTTAAATGAGTTACAACAACACCTGTGTGTGTGTGTGTGTATTTGTGTATATATTTATATATGTATATGGGTATGGTTTTCAGCAAGGCTAAAGTCATTATAATTATATAGATATGCATTTTTGTTGCTGTGGTTTTGTTATCTTTGTTTTGTAGGTGTGGAGCCAAGAAGTCGGTGTGCTGTCTTGTGTTTTCTCAACATATATTTYACATATCTTCTAATCTCTCTTTCACTCTCTCATTACATTTCACTTTTGTCTTTCTCTTTATTTTTCTCCTATTAAAAAAAGCCACTGATGATGAAGAAGCTAAGATCTACTGAAGTGGCAACAAAAAGAAAAATAAAGATTTTTTTCTCCATGACACCTGAACTGAAACCTTTAAAAGGATCAAAGTGTTGAACCGGACCTTTGACCCAAACTCAACGTGTGTTTTGAGCCTAAATGATGAACCGTCTCATTCATCTATAAAACCTGACCATGAATGAGTAAAAATAGAGCTGGATTTAATTTAATCTGGCAGAAGAGCTGCTGCGGCTCTTTGTCTCGTCTAATTCACTCGTTATTCAAGTTTAAACTAAAGATATTTGGAGTCACAGCTGCTTCTTTGTTTTTATTTCATCTCTCAGCTGTGAGACGTTAGGCTCCGCCCACCTGAGTCAGCTGCTCTGCGATGTGAATGGCCGTCTGAGTGTGAAGCGTGACGGCGCCGGTCCGAATCCGAGACGTTCCCTTCGCCAACGCCATGAAGATGATGAGCTGATGAAGAGGAGGAGTTAGTGATGTCATCGGGTGGACAGGTGTGTGTGTGTGTGTGTGTGTGTGTGTGTGTGTGTGTGTGTGTGTGTGTGTGTGTGTCTCACCTGGTCCTGCAGGAACTCGTCCACGCAGCCATTGTGTCGGATGTTTCTCAGCAACATCTCAGCAGCTTCTATACCCACTTTATCTGCGTACACACCTGGAGCACACAGGTGAGACACAAGACAGAACCAGAGTCCAATAAATAAACAAATAAACAAACAAAAACAAACAAGTTACAGTTAATGTTTGTGTTGCGGTGAGTTGTTGGTGTGGTGCTGCCACCTGCTTGTCAGACGACCACCTCACCTTTCTTTCCCAGAGCAGATCCAGCAAACAGACAACCTGAAGATGACTCRGCAATAATTCTGAAGGACAGACACGAGGACCAATCAGAGAGCAGCTCAGGAAACAGCTGTTCTTATTAATAATTACTGTGTTCATACATGTTAAAACTTCATAAAATAAGAAGTACTAACAGCAACTTGGAGTGTTTTCTGTCACGTTTTTAAGATAAATATTCTGCTTTCTTGCAGAAACTGACTCAGCTGTGATGTCACTGGGTGGGCGGGGCTTACATGATGCCGCTGCCGTTCCCGTACGCCTTCTCCTTCTCCTGCAGCGGCTGGATGTTGATGTAAAGCTCTTTGATTTCCTTCCTGATGGTTCGGACGGCGGCGGTCGACATGTCTTTCGCCAACTGAGAACAAACAAATAAAAAAGGTAAACAAAACGTGACATCACTTCCTGTCTGCGGCGCCTGAAGGGGAACTTTACTTTGAAGGGCAGGACTCCGGCCACGAACGCTCTGCCATGAATCTTTGTGATGTTTCCTCGCTCCGTCAGCGTGACGGGCTGCAGCTCCTTCACCGGGTCCACCGTGACCAGGACCTCCCCCCCACCTTTAGGGTAGTAGCCCCTGAGACACACAGACACACACTTAAACAGTATTAAAACACAGAAACAGAGTCAGACATGTAGATGTTTATAAACTGACCTCATCCTGACATCACAGTCAAAGTGAACTCCAAACTTCTCAACAACTGGTTTAAAGACCTAAAGAAGAAAAATTAACAGTTAAATAAAGTTTAACTGTTTTTATCTGCAGTGATTTTAGAAACAAGTCACAACAAACGTCCTTTAACATAAATATATCTCCTTTATATCCACAGAAACTGAGCTGTTTTAGCTAGATGCTAAAACTAAAAGCTTAAGTTTCTAAAATTTTGTTTTTGTCACATCAGGCTTTTTTTATTCATGTCTTTTAGCCAAGGTGAAGTYTTATTTTTGTTTTACAGATTGAGAGAAAATGAATCATGCTTTCATCTCAACGTGTTTGGACCACTGTAACTCATCGTACAATAGGTCAGTCCTCCCTGCATCGTCTCCAAATCATTCAAAAATGTTGCTGCTCAACTTTTCACTGGTTCACAGAAACATGAGCAGGTAACACCTGTGTTGGCTTCTTTACTCTGGTTACCTGTATTACCTGATTTTACAGRGCTCTGGATGCACAGGTGYRCCTAACAGTTTTTCTTAGGTGCACCCAAATTTTCAACCACGTCGCCTAACATCAGAGTTTTACAGGTTATTTTTAATCACTGTTCATTAAGGCAACGTTAACTTGAAAATAATTAGTTAATAACCTAATAAACAAAGTTCTTTATTTGAACCAGAATTGTAGACATTTAACTTACTGAAAAGTATTTAAAGTGATTCTATAAAATTCTAAGTGCAAATGTTTAACGGCTGAACGTCTTATAAACATMTTAAACATTTCATGGTTACATTTTTTAGACACATGTCCCTCAGAGKTTGACCCTATGATCTTTGGCCTTGGATAAACCAGAATGATGAACAGAGAATAATGATTAATAACAGAAATATTACTGATATTTATTAAAAGGTTGTGTAGATTTTTTAATTAACACATAAAAGTCTGCAATTTCATCATTTGTTGAATCTTATTATCTTATATTATTTCACTTAAATATCTAATATGTGTAGTTTTATCCTCCTGAGACCCAGAAGAACCTATTTCAGATACTTGGAATATAAATGTGGTGAAACCGATTAAGTGCAACAGCGGCCTGCCATACCGGTGTGCTTCCTCATCCTGCTGAAATGATCTGCTGCTCACAGAGTAGAACTCAACTGTTAAATTAACAAGATGGACTTAAGAGCGAGCAACCGTCCACATCTTGTTTTCACCTCCAGCTAACAAGAAAGAACTGGTTTCAGACTCCGATCTGGGTAAAAAAAAGAAAACATAAAAAAAAACCGGTTCTTTTACTTTGCGTGCGCACGTGCGTGTGTATACAGATTTTTGCTTCATGATGGGTACAATTATTGACCATTTCCCCGGTACACACAGCCTGGTGAGGTTAGGGTTTGGGTCAGGTGTGTAGTCTACCTGGGAGGTTATGGTTGGCTGTAGAACTGACGGGAAATGAATGGAAGTCAATGCAAAGTCCCCATGAGGATAGAACAACAAACGTGTGTGTGGGAGGTGTGGAGCGGAGCTCAGTGTTATTAGGAGACATGAGACTGTCGGAGGGCGACCGTTGATCCTGCTGGATAATTTTTTTATGGAACATGATGAAACTTTTAGTTTCAGCGGGCGACCGCTCCCCCTCCCCCTCGGTCACACCGGTGCGACCGGACATTTTTTTAGTCGTACTTTTAGGAAATCAGGTCGCATTTGCGACCAAATTGGTCGCACTCTAGAGCCCTGTTTTAGGATTTTATTGTTAGTTTTTAAAGTTTGGAGTGSCCTTGCTCCAACCTATCTTCAAGATCTTTTGCATCTTTATTCTTCATCTAGAACAGTGAGGTCAAACAAGCAGATGCTTCTGGATGTTTGAACAACCTGACCTTTCATWTCAGATCTGCTCAGAGCTCAAAACTTCAAAGTGCTTCTTAACACTCACTTTTATTCAAAGGCAKTTAATTAAAGTAAGGCCTGACATTGTARTTTATCTGTTCTTACTGTTGTTGGTTGTAATTTACTGTATGTTTAGCAATTATTGTGGTTTTGTGATATCTGTGAACTGCTGTACAGCTTTTAGCTGTTTTTAAAAAGCGCTTTATAAATAAATAAAATTGACACTGACTAAGAGTTACTACTTTAGCTACAGGCTAAACAGTGTTTGCTACATGTATCAGAAAGCTACGTCAGAGGAAAGACGATTAGCTGGAAGCTAAAGGAAGCAAACGTCTGATAAACTGGTCTGAAGGGAACAGAAGATGATAAACTGGTCTGAAGGGAACAGAAGANTGATAAACTGGTCTGAAGGGAACAGAAGATGATAAACTGGTCTGAAGGGAACAGAAGAGCCAGACTCAAACTGGAATCCTGAGTCCGGTCTGAGCCGAGCACCTTGAGCATGTAGTCGATCTGAGGCGCCATCTCTGCGTTGGTTCCTCCCTTCAGGCAGAACTTTGAGACRCCGTCGGCGTAGAGCGCGCAGGGCAGAGCGACCTGCAGCAGCAGACACACACTCCTGACACACAAACACAGAGTTTMTTAGAAACACAATAAATCCACAACGACGTCATCAGAAACAGCAGCTGACAGCCTCACCCTGCGGTCTGAGTGTCCGCCGTGTGGCTCCCGGACCGCAGCTTCCCGGGGGTCAGGCTGATGTCTGTGGAGCCGATGGTGGCCCCCTGCAGACCCCCTGAACACAGATCTGAGACCAGCTGGAGGCCCGTCAGGTGCTGCGGTCTGAAAACAACAAACAGAAGAAAGTGACCAGTTTTAGATTATTTCAAATAAGATGAAATTTGTCACATTTGCAGACGATACTAATTTATTTTATTCAGGAGATGATGTGGAGGAACTGGTATCAACTGTAGAACGGGAACTGGTATTATTAAAAAACTGGTTTGATAATAATAAAATATCTTTAAATGAAAGTAAAACAAAATGTATGGTGTTCAGTGAGTCAGGGTTAGACATGATATGAAATTAAATTTACATGGAGTTGAAAATGAAAGAGTGTCAGAAATAAAATTCTTGGGAATAATCACTGATAAAATAAACTATCTTGGAAGTCACATATCAGACAAAAAATATCAAAATCAGTTGCAATTATTTTTAAAACCAAAGGATTGTTAAATAGAAGTTGTCTGAATACACTTTATTTTTCACTTGTAGTGACATATATGTCCTGTTGTGTAGAGGTTTGGTGTAATGTTTATAAAACCAATAAAGATCCAATAGTTAAACTTCAAAAAAGAGTAATTAGATTAATAAATAATGCTGGTTTTTTGATTCCACAAACCCACTATTCTTAAAGTCTGCTTTAAAATTTAGTGACAGTGTATTTAAAAACACTGGAGTTAYTATACTGAGTAAGAATAAACAGTCTTCCTGATGGTATTCAAAGATTGTTCAAGTCACGGGAAAATAATTAGAATTTAAAGAGATTCTTTATTTTAGAAGTTCATGAAGTAAGAACAAATATCAAATACAGACGTGTTTCAGTACCTGGCTGTTAAAGTGTGGAATCATCTAAGTGATGAATTTAAGTTTAGTGACTCTTTTAAGTTTCAAAAAGAAGTTAAAAAGTAAATTAATTATGAGTTACGTTTACAGTGGTCAGTTATGATGATATCGTGGTGGTAATATCTAAGTGATGAATTTAAGTTTAGTGACTCTTTTAAGTTTCAAAAAGAAGTTAAAAAGTAAATTAATTATGAGTTAGGTTTACAGTGGTCAGTTATGATGATATCGTGGTGGTAATATTTCACATTTTTTACATGTACTGACAATAATAATGATATTGTTTATAAAAAAATATTAATGATTTGTATTTTGTGGATATAATAATAACAACAACATCATCATCATCATCATCATCATATAAAATGGC